GCCTCGCTCCTCGGCGCACAGCTCAGGGGCCCTGGTGGGGAGCCGCTGGCGCGTGCGCTGATGTGGGTTTGTGTCCTTCCAGTTGACTTAACGTCCTTTGTGACCCACTTTGAATGGGACATGGCCAAGTACCCCGCGAAGCAGCCGCTGCCCAGCGTGGTGGACACCCTGGCGAAGGTGAGGGGAGGCTCCCTCCGGGACACTCGCGCGTCTGTGACCGAGGACTGCGGGCCCTCTACGGCATCTGGACCCTGGTTGGGGTCCTCATCCCCACCTGCCTCCTGCCAGCCCTGACTCCTGGGACAGTCCCTGGGGGTCCAGCCCCTCATCGGAGGTGCCCGTGACAACGGGGGCGCCAGCTGGCGCGGCCCTGTGGTTCTGCCATGTTGGTCAGCCGTGGCCTCCAGCTTCTGCCACAAATGGAGGCTCTGGGGCCCTGGGCGTCTCGCTGCCGTGCTGACCCCGTGTGTCCCACTGCGTGTTCCCTCTCCCCCCACCACACCGGGAGCCTCACAGGCACAGCCCCACGGCCACGCGGCTGGGGGAGTGTCACCGCCAGGAACAAGGCCTCCTGTTGTCTCCGCAGAGCGGCAGGGCCCAGGGCGTGGCGGGGCGGGCGAAGGAGGTGGCCGCTGGGACCCGTCCTGTCCCATGGCCGGCGTCTCCTCACCCCAGGCTGCTGCCGCCTGTGTCTGGGAAGTGGGTGGGGCCGGAAGGCGGGGACGTGGGTGCGGCTCCCTGGGCATCACCCGCGTCAGAGGTCCCAGCCCCGCTGGACAGGCAGGCAGCGGGCAGTGATTCTGGGGGCCCCGGAGGAGGGGCTGCCGAGCGCCAGGTGTGGCCCCAGGAGGCCAGCTGGGACGCGGGCAGGTTCGGTGCTGTTTTCTTAAGGAGCGACGTGTGCAAGTTTGCAAAGCTTGGCCGCCTCTTTAAACGCTTCTGCTTTTCCGAGTAGCAACTGGCGCAGATCGAGACGGACCTGAAGGCCCGCACGGCCGCCTACAGCACCCTCAAGGCCACGCTGGACAGCCTGAACCAGAAGGCCAAGTGAGTGCCATGTCCGCACACGGCACGGCCCTCCCCCTGCGGGGCAGATCCCGGGTGACGGGGCTGTGTGTGTGAGAGAGTCAGACAGACAGACAGACGGACAGAGAGGCACTTCTGACTCAGGAGCTGGCTGGGAGGGGAGGCCTGGAGCAGACACACCTCCTGCCTGTGCCCGAGGCCACCTTCTGGGGGCTGCTCAGAGCCCTCGGGGGCGCCCCAGGGGTCTCCGCTTGAGAGCCGTTCACGGGAAGCACTGCGGGCTGACGAATGTGTTAGCTGACATCGAGGCCTGTGTGCACGCGGCCAGGCGGTCGTTAGCGGTATCTCGGCCCGTTTTCGGGGCCGTGGCCTCGATCCGGGCGCTAAAAATACCCTGACCTCGATGCGGCCAGGGCCACTGCAGGGAGACAGCTATTTCAGGTGAGTGCCCCCGGCTGCCGGGCCTGCGGGGCCTGTAAAGGGAAACGAGCTCTCGCTGGGCCTGTCCCGCCCCGGACGCGAGAGCTGGCCGCCGCGCTGACACTGGAGTAGCTTCAGCTGCTGCCCCCAGGGCTCCTCCCAGCAGCAGTGGCAGCACAGGCAGCACAGTGACGGGTGTCACCTTCAGCAGCCCCTTGGCTGGCAGGATACGGCACCCGAGGCCCTGCCAGCCACGCAGTGCTGGCCTCCCAGACACGGAGCTGGGGGTGCACTGAGCGCCCCCGCCCGACACCCTAAGCCTCCCCCACATGCTGCCTGCCCCTCCCATCCCCGCCGTGTGTGTGCCGTGGGTGCTCGGGTGCGTGCCGCCTCCACGTGCCTTTCTGCTGACCACGCCCCCTCTGTCCCACGTGGGCTCAGGGCAAACCTCTTCACGCGGACACTGAGCGACATCGTGAACAAAGACGACTTTGTGCTGGACTCCGAGTATCTGGTCACCCTCCTGGTCATCGTCCCCACGTAAGTGGGCGGGGAGGGGGGCCGTGGGCGTCTCAGCCCGAGTTAGTCATCGCCGAAGGCCGCTTGGCCCTACTAGAGGCCCACCTGCCACGGCCGGGGTGCGGGCCCTGGAAGAAGTCGTAGGTGGGGACCATGCTTGCAGGGTAAGAGCAATGGCCGCAGCAGCCATTCCTTGAGCACCTACTATGCGCCAGGTGTCAGACAGGTTCATTTCACTCCCGCCAGCCCGGGGGAGCTGTGGTCAGCTGCCTTGCCCAGGCCACGCAGAGCCAGGGGCAGAAACCACCCCTGCCGGTGTCTCTGGCGAGTCCTTCACACATGCCTTTCCCGGTGCTCAGGGCCCCACGGGGAGGCCGGCCCAGGACCGGGCTGGGCACGGGGCTCCCAGCGCTCCTGCAGGGCCCGTCCTGCTCGCCTCAGTCCCTCAGGAAAAGGGGGGGGTGCAGCTTCCTCAACACTCAGGACACCCCACAGCAGTGGTTCTCAACCTTCCTAACGCCGCGACCCTTTAATACAGTTCCTCATGTTGTGACCCAACCATAACATTATTTTCGTTGCTACTTCATAACTGTAATGTTGCTACTGTTATGAATCGTCATGTAAATATCTGATATGCAGGATGTATTTTCATTGTTACAAATTGAACATAATGAAAGCATAGTGATTAATCACAAAAACAATATGTAATTATATATGTGTGTGTTTTCTGATGGTCTTAGGCGCCCCCTGTGAAAGGGTCGTTCGACCCCCAAAGGGGTCACGACCCACAGGTTGAGAACCACTGCCCCACAGCCTTCTCCGCAGAAAGCACTAACGACTCTGTGTTCTCGCAGACAAAACTACATACAATGGCAGAAGACCTACGAATCCCTCTCGGACATGGTGGTCCCTCGGTCAACCAAGTAAGTGCGACGCCGGCTTAACCAGGGGGTCCCTGGGAAGCATGTGTGGGTGCCCTGGGGCACCCAACCACCACACACTGTGCCCACCAAAAGTCCCTCAACCTGCAGTTCCCTCGTGGCCATGCACCAGCCACATGCCAGACTCCCTCCATCTTTTGGGACTTTGCTTCCCTGCCCCCTCCTCCGGGAAGCCCTCCCTGGCTGCCCTCCTTCGCTGCACTCCGCTCTGCCTTGTCAGCTGGGTGTGGCCTCTTCCCCACAGGAGGGCCAGGCCAGGGCGGGGCCATGGTGGCCACAGAGTGAGGGAGGGGCGGAGGACAGTCTCAGCGTGGGTCCGAGCTGCTGTGGGCAGTGAGGGCTGGGTGACTTACAGAAGAAGGGGTGAAAGAATATATTCAGACCGTGAATGCCAACCACCGAGCGGGACAGGCAGCGGGAAAGCCAGCGATGCCGGGTGGGTGCAGCGGCACAGGTAGGTCTGTGTGGCAAGCGAGCTGCGGAGGCACACACAGCGTGAAGCCATTTAGTTAAGGTCTAACGATGGCCGCTCTAAACCTCTTGAGACTTGGGCACATGCAGGTGCACAGTAGAATTATGGGGGTCTTTGGGGTGAGAAACGCCAGGGGTGACCTCGGGGCAGAGAGGTCAGCGGGGGAGGGCTTTCTCCTGTATGAACAGTGATGACTGTAGCCGGGGCAGGTACACAGGTATGTGTCCTGCTCTGTGCCTCGCCTGTGTCTGAAATAGCTTGTGATTTATTTAAAAGACCTGACAGCGAGGCCATTCACCTGCCTCCCAGCACTCGGCTCAGCCTGAGGGCAGCCCTGCCCTCTCCTACCCCAGCCCGGAGGCCAGCGGGCGCCTGCCCCAAGGCTGGCTCTCCCAGGACCACAGACTCACAGGAGAGGCAGTGAGGGGTGCAGGGAACAGGAAAGCCACAGCCTGAGGTCCCCCGGGAGCTGGAGGAATAAGCCAGGGCAGCTATGTCTGAGGGGAGGAGGGGGGCAGATGGGCACAGGCACTGGCCTGCTTGGCGAGGGCCAGGGCACCAGCTGCAGGGCCTTGGCCTCCCAGACCAGAGCCCCCTGGGGTCTGCAGGGATGGCCTGGAAAGGCCTCCAGCCTGCAGCCAGCCTCCTGGGTGTGGGCTCTGAGGAACAGGAGAGGGGCCGCCAGCAGCCCACAGAACTCTGCCTGGGCCCCAGGACCCCCATGGGGGGCATCTGGCCAGCAGGACTCAATGATGCTTAGATCACTGGCCTCAACCACCCCACGCCCCTGGGGACAGCGGCCACAGTGGCTTTCCGTGGACGTGTGCCAGGAGGTGTGTCTAATTAGAACACTGTGACACTGGCCGTGAAGTGGCCACTGTGAGATGTTCCACCAACCAAAACGCCCCTCACCTCCCCGCCCCCGGTTCACTGTACCCGGAGCCTGCCAGGGCCAGGGGCACCGGGTGCACCAGGGGACCGAGCCCAGGAGTGGCCTCATCTCTCAGGCAATTGATGAACGGGACCCAACCCCAGATCATGGCACAACAGGCTCCCGTCCCTTCCTCCCCTGGGCCTGGGTTTAACCGGCCTGGAGGCCCCTGAGGCTCGGCTTGGGGGGCGAGTAAACGGGCAGGAGAGGAAGGGGAGCGCCGGGACCACAGAGCCAGGAGTGAAGGAGCCTAGGGAGGCCGGGTGTGCAAGGCCACCAGGCGGAGGGGACAGCGCCGTGGCTGCAGCGACCTCCTCCCGAGGGCGAGGACAGTGCGCCGGCCCAGCCCGGCCCAGCCCGGCCCAGTCCGGCCCAACGAGTGGATGCGTCTCCCCACAGGCTGATCTTTGAGGACAAGGAGGGCGGCCTCTTCACCGTGACCCTGTTTCGAAAAGTGATTGACGATTTCAAAGCCAGAGCCAAAGAGAACAAGTAAGCGCCGGGCGGGCTGGCTGGGCCCCCGCCCCCGGGAGCGGCTCCGTGACCGCCTCTGTTTGCCTGGTTAAGGTTCACGGTCCGAGAATTTTACTATGATGAGAAAGAGATCACACGGGAACGGGAAGAGATGACCAGGTTGCTGTCGGCTAAGAAGCAACAATATGTGAGTACAGGCCACAGGCCCGGATTCTCAGGCAAGATGGGGACAGAGGGCCCTGCCAGTCCCCGCCTCTCAGCCCCGCCATCCCCATGCCCCTGGGCACCCCCCCGCTGCCACCCCAAGGAACATGTGCTCTCCTGGGGGAGCCAGAGCAGGTCTTGGGGAGGTGACAGCGTAGGTCATTGTGGAGGTAGCGCCTGAGCTGTCAACTATGGTGCTGGGCAGCTCCAAGCGAGGGCTCCCCAAGCGCTGGCACTGCCCTCCCAGGAAGGGACTGGCTCCATTGTCGCTGAGAAGTCGGGGTGCTGAGAGGGTGATGAGCCAGGCCCTGGGAGAGGACCCTGCCTGGGGCCCCCCCGAGGTCCAGCAAGGCAGGCTGGGCTGCAGGCAGGGCCCCGCCCTGGAGGTGAGGCCAAGGCCACGCAGCTGTCCGGGGCAGTGTGAGTTCCAGGTGTGATGTGCCGCCTCTGCCCCAGCACCTCTATTTACCCTCGCTGTGCTTTTAGCAAAGAGGGGTGCTCACCCTGAGATTACCGACAGCGGCCACTCGGAAACGTTGAGGGCAGCCGAGCTCAAGAGGGAGACCAGACTTTGGTGTTTGAACAGGGACGCTCCCTCCGCCGCTCTGTAAAATGGGCGCATTCCAGACGGGGTGCCCTCCGGCTGGGAGCAGGGCCAAGCCGTGTGGCCCCGCCTGGGTGGAGCATTTCGGGTCCCCTCCTCAGTGCTAGCGGGAGGGCTCTGGGAGCACCCACCTCGATGCCGGGAGGAAGAATGAGTGAGTGTGCTCCCGGCCTCTGGGAGGAAGGGCCGTGTGTAAACAGAGCGGCAAGGGCGTGCGAAGCAACAAGTGCCTCTCCTGTGGCCGAGTGTTTGCCCCGAGCCTTCCCAACGGCGGGCCGGGCACCCTGCACATCTGGCCTGACCTCTCTGGGTCAATGGCCTTTTCCCCCCAAACTACTTTGTTATTGACTTCAGAGAGGGAGAGGGAGAGGGAGATAGAAGTATCAATGATGAGAATCACTGATCGGCTGCCTCCTGCACGCTCCACACTGGGGATTGAGCCGCAACCTTGGCATGTGCCCTTGACCGGGAATTGAACCCTGACCTCCTGGTTCATAGGTCGATGCTCAACCACTGAGCACACGGGCCGGGCTCAATGGTCTTTTCAGAGGGACTCCAGACAAGCTGCCCCTCAGGAGCGAGCACTAGCCATGGGGCCCCCGAAATGGGGTTCTCAGAGCCCCACTGGACCGGACCGGGGCCTGTGAGAGGCCATGGGAACGAGCATATAAAATGCCCCCCAAGCATAAAAACGCTCAAACACCATAAACACACTTACACACGTATGTATATAGACGTGTACCCCAAAGGGACGCACACACTGCAGATCCTCTGAGACAGGGATGAGCTGGAGCCCTGGGCCCTGAGGACTCAGGCCCACGCACCCAGGCACCCACGCACCAAGTTACCCAGGGACCCAGGGACCCAGGCACCAGGGACCCAGGTACCAGGGACCCACACACCCACACACCCAGGCGCCCACGCACCCAGGCGCCCATGCACCCAGGCATCAGGGACCCACACACCCACACACCCAGGCGCCCATGTACCCAGGCACCAGGGACCCACACACCCACACACCCAGGCGCCCACACACCCAGGCGCCCACGCACCCAGGCGCCCATGCACCCAGGCACCAGGGACCCACACACCCATGCACCTAGGCACCCAGGCAGGAAAGGTGTTCAGCACCAGAGCTGAGACCCAGAAGGGTCGCGCCTGAACCTCAGCCCTGACGCCTGGGGACACTCCCGAGGTCTCTTTAGTGACCGACCCAGCTCTCTGCCGTGTGTCTGCACGGAAGCTGGGTCACAGCAGCTCCCACAAGTGTCCGGGCGGCAGGTCCTGCCCAGAGGACAGGTGGTCAGGTTCCTTGGCACCCACCGGTGCGCTGGCACAGACCCCCCCCCCCCCCCCCCAGCCCACAGTCACTGCGCCCATGGCGGTCTTCGTTTGCTCACTTTTAAAGCTGCCGGCTCTTGGGAAGGACAAATACCATACCATATGATTTCACTTGTATGCGGAATCTAACGAACAAAATAAACAAACAAAACTGAATCAGACTCATAGATACAGAGAACGGACCCCCCCCCCCCCCCCAGGACCCAGGACTGACACCTGAGCCGACACCTGCACCGGGTCTCGGGTTCCCCACGGTGTAGACTTCTGCCCGCGCAGCCGGGAGCCCTGCCAGGGCCTCGGGGAATGGAGCTCGGAGGGAGACACATAACTCGGAAACACTCAGTCCCTTCCGAGGCTCTCGCTGTGCGCCAGGGAGCGGGCGACAGCGGGCCAGCCCGCCCGGCTCCTGCAGACTCTTGGCCCTGAGCCTGTTTGGAGGTGGGCATGAGCAGCATCCTGTATCTTTCTGGCTACTTGTCAGCGGAAGGGACGGCTGGGTCCCGGATGTTGTCAGTTCCCTTTGAGATCACAGGGTGGGAGTCTCCCGCACTGCCCACCTGTCTGAGAGAAAGATGATAAAGGGTGCCTGCACTGACTGCATGCCGGCGCCCGAAGGCCAAGGAGGCTGCCGTGGCTGGGCTGGGTGGCGACACCCTGACTGCGCCCAGACAGACAGCTCCGGAGCTGCCCTGGCCCAGGCCGGGCGGAGGGAGCGATGTGTAACCCCAGCCCTCTGCCAGAGATGGGCTCTTTCCCCGGAACATGGAGCCACAGGAAGGCTTTCCCGGCCGGGCCGGGGCGGGGCAGACAGGGCCACACCTCCACCCCTGGGCGGGCGGCATCCCTGAGCCTGCCTTCCGTCAGGGGACGAGAATGGTTTCTGTTTCTGATGTGTTTCCTGAAAGATTAATAAATCGTTTCTGTGCCTTTAGCAAACTTCCTGTGTTGCTCTTAAAAAGGGATCCTCCACCTTCCCGGACCACAAGGTTAAGGTAACCCCGCTAGGTAACCCCGATAGGCCCGCTGCGGGGCACAGCGACAGAGAGAGAGAGAGTGAGGGCGAGAGCGAGGTAAGCAACCCCCGGAGCCCTGGGGTTCCCCGCTCGCATGTCCTCGCCAACGCAGGTGTCTGAGCGGCAAATCCTTGCCTTTCTGTTCTCTAAGCGGCTTTTGAGGTCTTCAAGGAGCCCAGAGCGGGGCCTTACCTCTAATCTGCAGGGCCTCTTTGGGGCGGCCCCGCCCCCCAACAATGGACGGTGCTTATGGGCCAAGCTGCCTCTGCTCTGCCTGGAGGTGACAAGCTGGTGACGGGCAGGCCCTGCTGGGGGCAGGTGTGGGCGGCAGCTCCGCTGTCCTGTCCTGGCTGGACCCACTCCTGACCTTTGTGGGCTCAGGGCCTTTGCTGCAAGACTTGAACTCCCCCAGGTGACCGGCCACACCAGCGTTAGTGACACCCTCACGCCCTGGGGCTTGTGGTCATAGTGTGAGGTGGGGGCCCAGCCAGAGCCTTCCAAGAAGGTGGGCCCTTGTAGCACAGAGTCTGATGGAGGCTGTGAGCTGCCTGCTGAAAGCCCTGAGGTCAGGGGCTGCCCAACGCCCCGCTGCCCCGTCTGAGGTGGCCCCACGCATGTGCCGGTGGCTGGCCCGCTGAGCTTCCGGCCCCAGGCCCC